CCAACACTGAGGTGTGTGATGTATAGTGCATAGAATATGTTCTTTAAGTTATGTCAAATGTTTTGTGTTGCTTTCCCTGGCTCATGGCCAATATTAATTATCAAATGCATTCGAGGTATTTCCAGCATTGTGGAGCTGTTGAGAGATACGTGTGTGTGATAATTGTTCAACTTCATGATGGATATATAATATTTAATTGCGATACAATGGTCTTGTGATGGATCAAGTTTTTCTAGAAATTGGGACCACAGCTGACTGGTTTCAGTTATGTGTCTGAATCAGAAACAAGAACACTTCCCTCGAAATTGGATTTTGTCAAACAAATATATACTTTACATAGAGAAGTTAATGTAAACATTTGCACTTTGTACAATAGATAACAAACAATATGGGAAAATACGTATATTGCAATATATCCAGTAGCGTTGTAATATAAATAATGACTTTGATTCTAAAAACAATAATGCTTGAACTGTATAGTGCAATAATGCCAAAGTTTGACCCACCTTTGGTCAGATTTTAGACGAGAGACTGGTTGTTTTTTAAACAGCGGGTGATAATATGTAAATGTTTTAGAACATCCTCACAGAGGGGCTACAGAGAGTGAACATGAATTGAAGCTGCAGGGCTGCTGAACCTCCAATGGCACAGTAGTGTTAACTTCACCTGCTCAAGGTTCAAGGTTCAAGGCTTTTATTGATCATACGAACATAGCTACAGTGTAGTTATGATGATGAACATCTTAGGTCACAGGCTCCTCCAACAGTGAAACACAATAAAACTGAAAAACTGAAAAAAATTGTGCAAGTAAATACAAAAAGAAAGTGAAATAGTGCAATAAGAGTCTATATACAAGTGATTGGAATATGACATATTAGATAAATAATTTCTAAGTAGCAGCCAGATGAATGTTATGGATGTTGTTTCTAAGTGCAGGTGTTTAATAGTCTTCTGGCCTGTGGGATGAAGCTGTCTCTGAATCTGGTGGTTTTAGTCCTGATGCTGCGGTACCGCCTGCCAGACGGCAGTAGACAGAACAGTTTGTGGCTGGGGGGACGGGGGTCTTTTGTAATCCTGAGGGCTTTCTTCCTGAGCCGCTGGGAGTAGAGGTCCTCCATGGATGGCAGCTCCGTCCTGGTGATGTTCTGTGCAGTTTTCACCACCCTCTGTAAAGCCTTACGGTTGAGGGCGGTGCAGCTGAAACTGCAGTGAGAAGCTCTTACTGTTCCCCTGGATCAGGAGGAATGTGTTGTGACCGCTCTGCACAGACACAGTTTGGATATCTCAGAAGGAATAAGACTAAATGTTCTCCCTGATGGTTTGCAGCATTACAAATAACAAGCCTGGATATTCTCATCAACATGGATTAAAAGATCCCTTCATGATCTTTTAAACATTTTTTTTTAAATCCTTCAATTTCTGCCTTACCTGAGGTTTACAAAGAAAAGTAACTCTCTACAGCAGTGGTTCTCAACTGGTGGAGTTTTTTTTTTGGAAAAAAGGCAAACTTTTATTTTGAAGGCCCGATTTTCTAATGCTGTGCATGCAGTCGGCGTTGGACTGGAAGTACCGGAGACCATAAACGGTTTTGAAAACTTCTGTCAAGTAGTGATCATCTTCTCAATAAAACATCTTTGCTGATGAGTCTTCTGGCCAATCAGAATCAAGACTGTTGCCGGAAGTCCCCACGGAGAATAACTTTGCGGTAGAATACTCTTTATACATCCATGGGTACAACTTCAGATAGAAATGAACACATAATGAAATATGACCCCCGGTTTGATGATTGACAGCTCACAGAACAATGGGGGCTATCTACCCTTACCCACAATTTAAAGTAATTCACACAGACTCTCTCCTCTTTGCTCTTCTCTCTGTGAGGAGCAGCAAGCTGTCAGAACAAAGTGAAAAACAAACAATGGCATCAAATATTATTAATATGTCGGGTAGTAATAGATGTATTTATTTTCTTCTCAGAGTGTACCAGAATGCGTAGTTTATATGTTAGTATTTCAAAAAATCTCCTGGGGGAGAATCCCCCCGGACCCCCTGCTGGGTTTTCAGCATGTGGGCCTTTTTATGTGATACAGTTCAGCTTTGATTCCATCATCTCATTAAACCTTTTTTAAAAGCATACTTAAGTTCTGTGAAGGGATATAAGGGATGCACTGTACTTCACTTTAATTAATAATGTATGATGAAAAGCGTATATATATTACAGCACGATTTTTTGTTGAATAGATTTGAGTGGTTAAAAATTTCGGGTCGCGATTGATTGACAAAGGAAAAAGTGGGTCCCGAGGCCTGACCAGTTGAGAACCACTGCTCTACAGCATGAACTTCCCTTTTTATATTAAAATCAAAGGGTATTACGAGCCAGTTTTAAGTCTCAGATTTCATCAGAAGGGAACGGGTGAAACTGAGCTTGGTTTCAGGATTTGTGCAAAGCAGCATTGAAACTTAACAACACATGCAGCTTCACAGTGTAAGTGCTGCTGTTGTAATTAAAAACAGAAACATTGAGAAGCTATGGCGATATTAATGTAATACCATTTTCATTATCCATGTAAAAAAATGGTAATAGTGTCTTCTTCAGGAATATTTGTTCATTTCAACGTAGGCAAGTTGAGAGTGAGAGTGGCTTTAGCATGTGCTTGGCTGAAAGATGGCATTATGGCGAACTATGTGAAAGGACATAACATTCACACACCTGTTTGTGAGTTACAGATTTGACAGAAATATAAATCAGTAGACGAAACACATACCTATAAGATTGATTGCATTTGAAGGGACCGATGGGCCGCGGGCCAGAGGAGCATCTGCCTTTTATCTTTATGACGCAAAGGTTAAATCAGTCTGACACACATAAAGCCAAACAACGTGTCTTTCACCAACGAAAAAGAGGCGCCAAACTTAATTCCTCACTCTACTCTGTCCTCTAGCATCAGAAGGTCTGAAGAATTCAAAGGAAAGAAAGTGCTTTTTTATCAACCAGTTTGTACCAGTGCATAATGAATGAGGTGGTAATGTGTCAGCAGACAGAGTTTGACAGACTGCTATTTGCACACACAGAAGGCCGCTCACTATGTGTGTCAGATAACAGGTTATGTAACAACTGTGTGACTTCTCTCTGTTGCCACATGCCGATAAAAGACTGTTAAAAAATTGAACTGTTGAAACAACTTCAAAACATTCATCTGCGACTCAGTATTATGTATCTAATACCTAATATATATATATATCATTCCAATAACTTGTATATAGACTCGTACTGCACTATTCCACATCATCACTTTATTTTATAACTATTTTTCTTTTTGTATTGCTCTTGCTCTTATTGTTATTATGTTATTATGTTGCATTGTTGGAGAAGCCTGTGACATAAGATTTTCAACTACATAATTACTCTGTAGCTATGTCAGATTGACAATAAAGAACCTTGAACCTTGAACCTTGTGTGTTGGGCTCAGATTCATGTGTCGCTGCAGTGACTTAGAGCAGAATGACAAGAGGAGATCTTAGCACACCAAGAAGGGATTCAACACCTCAAACATTACATTACATTACATTACATTACATTACATTACATTACATTACATGTCATTTGTTAGACGCTTTTATCCAAAGCGACTCCTTCCTTCTGCGCTTTAGCACCTTTGTGGTTGCACTTTGTAGCATTCCCCTTTCCTGTTTCGACATGAGAATGCAGTGCTGCAGGCCGACCCTCAAGTTAGCGTTGCCCTGGTTCCCACGACAAAAAGGCCAATGGGATCTTACCATTAGGTTTAAGAATATTGCAGAAAATAAACTTTGTGGCGAACACATGTATATGAAACTTGTATACAATGTGATCTTCACAAATAAACACCACTTAATGATTTTAAAGCAGGCTGGATATTTACTGTATTATTTGATGTTGTCCAAGAAAATGTGGATACATGTTTAACTTGTGTTCAACACAGACTTACCTTTAGACACCTAACCAAACAAACATTGACTTTGAAGGAACAGGAGGAGCAGACATGTAATTTCCAGGTTTAAGGACTTATTCCTAGAACATGCAATGCTTTTCTGCAAGCTGGCTCCATTATACATATTTGTATATTTGTATTCTGGATTGTTGGAAACGTTATTTCGATCTCTGTCTGTACACACAAACTGAAAGATTGACATTTAAGTTGACTTTGACTTTGATAAAGGAATTGTTTCCCCCATGTTGTTGAGGAGGCACTTGACTGTCTCCCTGAGGCATGCGCTTAAACAACTTTTGAACTTGATATAATTAGTTTGCTGCAGGCACAGGTGAATGTGAGGCATTGTAAGTATACTTGAGAGTTTGAGGGACTTGCCGTTCCGGAACAATTATCCGCTTGATTATTTTTGTCAGAGGATCATAGAAGGCCTTAGGTGAAGGTTAAACTGAATGTGCTACGCTGATCGTTTCATGTTGGCCGCTGTGTGACAGGAGGCTGAGGAGGGGAGTGATTTGTTGTGATTACTTCTTGAATTCTTGCTGTAAGAACAGTCGCAGAAGTTGAAACATGACATTATCACACTGACTTATGAAGGATATTTGTGTAATCCGTAAATCTGTGAGCAAAAAGGAAAAGTTATTCTACAAAAACACGTTGAACACACACTGGTTTTGGCACTTTATTATGTTGACCGTACACATTACACATTTGTCCTTATCTGTTAAAATGTCAAACCTGTGACCTTTGTCATTGGTGTTTTCTTATGTTGCATTTTTCTGTCTTTCCCAACTCATAATTTCTTCATCAGACACTGGGAACATTTACAATGAAACAGTGTTATGGATTTAATACCTGTTAGCAATGTAGACAAACTGAAACATGTATTCTGGAGCTAACAGATTAAAGGCATTACAAATGTTAACACCTGGGGTCAAATGATTATAAACAACATTATTTTCCTTGAATTTTCAATATACTTTAAGTGTGAGGAGGAGGCAGAAACTAACTCGACCTGTCTTCTTCCAGGAGGAGGAGGAGGTGGTGGTAGCTGAGGAAGAGGAAGAGGAAGAAGAAGAAGAAGAAGAAGAAGAGGAGAGAGTGGAGATAGACGAGGTGGAAATCATCAACGTGGTGCATTCGGCGCCGCCGGTGATAAAGACCCGCAGGACGGAGGTGAGGACGGAGGTGAGGGAAATGCCCACGGAGACAAAGATGGACACGCGTTACTTCGGAGAGCTGCTGGCCGAGGTCTACAGGAAGAACTGCGACATCCACTCCTGCATCTCCGAGCACGTGTCCAAGATCCGCGGACAGTGAGTGCATTTCAGGGTTTATTAGAAAACATATATCATTGTATATTTTATGCTCAATGTAAAATGATGTCCTCATGGCCAGTTCATCTTAACCTTGGAGCGTCTTCTAGGGAAGTTCCTGAGAAGCTATTGATTCAAAGATTCATTGTCATATGCACATAAGATACAGTGCAGAAATGGCAATGCTATTCTTCTGACCTGAGCTCCTCCAGCGATGCAACATATATTAAATACAACAACACAAATAAGAAATAGTGCAAGAAGTCTATATACACTAGGGCTGTACCCGAATATCCGAATATTCGTTCTTTGGAGTACTATTCGGGTTTCAATTTCGTTATTCGGATATTCTTTTTATTTTTATTTTTTTATTTATTGAAAACTCCAATATCAACGTAAGAGCTTGTGCCTCTTCGGGGGGTGCTAACATTTAACCATAAACTTTATCGTTTACTTTCTCCGTCTTTATATGCAGATATGACTTTTCTCTGTTAATCTCCGTCACGTTGTTTCCATAGCAACAACAACTTCCTGTCAACAGCGCTAACTCTCCTTCAAAATAAAAGCATGTCCATACAAAATAGGAAGCCAAGCCAAATTACACTTAAGACATATACAACTGCAACGAAAGTAACAAACACAATGCAATATCCTTTCCAATTTCAAAGAACACAAATTGGGTTACATTAACAAATAACTATAAAACAACAATACTGTAGAATAACAAAATGAATGCCGTGAATGAATGAATGCCGTGAATAACCCAAAATACACGTGTTGAAGCGGTTCGCTGCTGATTACTACGCCCCCCCCGCGCGGGCCGAATATTCGCTGCTGATTACTACCGAATATCCGGAGCCCGAAAAATGGTATTCGGGACAGCCCTAATATACACATGTAAATATTGAGACATGCTTCAATGTCTGATCTTTGAGTTTCATAGGGTTTATAATAGGAAATGTATCGACAATTTTATTTTTAAAGTTAGTGATGTCCACATTAAATAAAATAAGTCAACATATCTTACTTTTTCAGACATCACGCAGATTCGGTGCAACGCGTCACAAATCCTGCTATCAAACATTTACCGGCTAGCTTCGGTTTATTTTCCCACTCTGTAAGCATGAACATGAATGCAGCATTCAGATGTTCCTGAGTTCATACAATTGCAGAGACGGGGTTTAGTTCAAAGTGCTATATATGTTCATATTCAAATGTGATGTTATACAGTGCAGTGACCATCAACTGGTGGCCCGCGGGACAAATCTGGCACGCCAGACATTCTCATCCGGCACGCGCTGTGGCGTACGACGTCTCGTGAGTAATGTGCAGTACCGGAGTCCAACAGAGAGGCAGCAGCTGCGGGACAGTAGCCTGCGCACTGCGTAGCCTTCCCTGCCCTGAAGAAGAAGTGATCCTTCGTTAGCGTGAAGAGTCTGCTGTATGCGCTCCGCAGTAGCCCCCACTACGAGGCTCCGGCGACTTGACAGTACATGAGCGTGATCTTATCCACATTTATTTAAATAAATCATGTGAGAAGCTACAGTTTTTAAAGTGGACGTAACATGACAAACTCACTTTTTCAGTGCCTGTGATCATACATTCAGACAGATGGTGAATACAGGTCAGACAGACAGTATGAGAAGTATAAAGTGTTATTATAGCAAGTAAATCAAGCAAACTTGTTCTAGTAGAATACCGAAACACACACAAGTATGAACATGAGAACACGTATGTCCCCTTTAAAGCACCAATATCATCTGCACACTATTGCTTAATTATATCCTGTTTATGTAGATATCAAGATACATGGTCAGACATGTATTTCAATGATTAAACATCAGACTTTGCTATAGGAAGCAACTCAATTGATAAAAGGATTTAATTGAAAAGGACCCCGCACGATTCGAATGAACTAACTAAAAAAATGCAGATAAATGATAAGAAACAAAATGAATATACATACTGTAAACTAATTTTCACTTTATTAGGTATACCTTTGGATACATGTACAAGAGTGTAATGACAGTCCCACTGATCTTAAGAAATGACGCTCCAACTAAAGCTCGTAGATATGGCGTTCCTCTCTGACACTGAAAGGTTCACAGGTATTTCTCATAACGCTTTATATCAAGTTGCAGGAAGGTTGGTAGATTTCTGAGAACAGCCGTGGGATATTTTTTATTGGAGGTAGCTGCTGGGCTTGGTGTAATTATCAGCATGCTGGAACAGGTGGAGGCAGAGTTTCGGTCGAGTTAGTCCTTGTGTTGAACTCAAACTGCTCCTGCATTCACCACAGGGACCATTGAGGAAAATAAAATATCAAAAATAAAGAAACTCAGGTAAAGAATATCTGGGAAAACTTTGACTTTTAGTTCAGCCACTCAAAATGACTTGCAGCAAACTAAAAATAAAGCCAGCAAAGTTTGTTAATACAACACTTTTCAACAACAAGGCAATCCAGTGCTTTACAAAGCACATACAAAGCATACAGACATAGTGCACAAGAAATGCATTATACATTGAAAAGTGAAATAAAAACAGTCTTAAATATAAAACAAATCAAGAATGAAAGTTACAGTGCTGTTTAAGAAATGAATCATTATTTTACTTGATAAGAAAGCTTATTAAACTGATCGTTACTCCTTTCACTCCAAAGAAAATGAACCCTAAAGTTAAAGTGGACCTATCATGCTATATTTGAATAATATAGTGTAGGACCATACCTATATAAGGCATATTTATACTTTATTTTTTTCAAAATACCAAACAGATCATGCATTTTAGCCATGCCTCATTTAGCTCAATTTGACAATTTTTATCCCTGTTTTAGCAAGGGGTGATTCAGTGAGAACAGCACCATCTACAGGCCTGGCATATGTACTACAGCATCTCCAGCGCTTTCGAACGGCAATGGCCGTGGCTGTCTCCTCCTGATTGGTGGAGTTGGCCCAATAGCCGTAGCGCCACCGTCCTGACGTCAGGACAGTGTTCAAATCTGGATCAGTTTTTATCAGATCCGTTGCAGCCCCTTTTTTAGAGATTTGGGTATGGAGGAAAATAGAGAGGGTTGTGTTTTCTGACACTTGGTGAGTTCCCTGGAACACCGGGGACACATATTCATGTAGAAAAGACGTACAAAAGTGCATTTTGCATGATAGGTCCCCTTTAAGTTTTATTCATTTGTTATCGACACTGGTTACATCACCTGCAATACATTCATGTCTGCACTCAAATAAAAACAGTTCACCACCTGCTGCCTACGCTTTAGTCACATTAGTGGATTCACCCCCATTCTACGGACATGTTTGTCTTCACTATGATGAAATGCAAACACACACACACACACACACACACACACACACACACACACACACACACACACACACACACACACACACAGAGTCATGCTGTCCTCCTCATTGTTTGTCTTTCCTGTGTGTGTGTTACAGGAAACACCACCTGGATCCCAGCAATGACTACAAGGTGAGAAACAAACATGCAGCACACCCGTCTGATTCATGATTCATGATTCTGAACGTGTCAAAGAAGTCGACTTAGAGCCTGAGTTTGATCTATGTTTAATCAAGATTCAAAGGTTTCCTGAAAATGAGGGAGGCTGTTTTAAAGTATTCTTTTTGATAAACACAGCAAGAAGAAATCTGAACCTCTTTCAGTCTAAAGATATATTTTCTTACAAGAATTGAACTGTGATCACATGCAATTTAAGGGACCAAAATCTTATTCAAAAGTACAATTTCAAGTAATACTGACATATTTTTGATAGGATTTTCTTCATCTTTTCATTTTCCATTGGGCGGTGTTATTCATTTGTTTCTATTATATCTGTGTGTGTTCAGGTGGAAAAAGAGGAGGTGGAGGCTCTGCTTCCCAAAGGAGCTTCTGAACTGACCAGACAACAAATCCGCTACCTGCTGCAGGTCCGTTTAACATGCAACACAACAGAATCAAAGTATAGCACACTTCCCCATTGAACAGAATATATCATACTGTAATGAAACACATGTATTTATCTGTAATGGTTTACTTGCACGTCAGATGAAATGCCTCCCTGCTGTTAACGTGTGTGTGTGTGTGTGTGTGTGTGTGTGTGTGTGTGTGTGTGTGTGTGTGTGTGTGTGTGTGTGTGTGTGTGTGTGTGTGTGTGTGTGTGTGTGTGTGTGTGTGTGTGTGTGTGTGTGTGTGTTGTGTGTGTGTGTGTGTGTGTGTGGTGTGTGTGTGTGTGTGTGTGTGTGTGTGTGTGTGTGTGTGTGTGTGTGTGGTGTGTGTGTGTGTGTGTGTGTGTGTGTGTGTGTGTGTGTGTGTGTGTGTGTGTGTGTGTGTGTGTGTGTGTGTGTGTGTGTGTGTGTGTGTGTGTGTGTGTGTGTGTAGACTCGTCTCACTGCAGATAAGAGCATGCGTCTGCTGCTCTCCACCTTCAGCAGTCTGAGAGAGGAGCTGCTCCACATGACGGAGGACATGATGGTAAGAAGTGAAGCATTTCATTCAGGTGATGAAACTCCTCCCTTAGTTCAGATCTCCATGGAGACAGTGGGAGAAAACAAAGGTGTCAGCAGCATCACAACAATGAGGTCATGTGATCTGCTCCGCCAAACATTAATGACATAATGGTTGACACAACCTCAAAGAAATACCAACAAGACAAGACTTCAAAAAGCATAGTATAGTGAAGAAAAGTTATTTCTGCTGTTCAGTTTGTGGGGAATGAATGTACTTGCAGTAGTTTTAAAACAAACAAACCTCCTATATGTGCAAAGTATCTTATTAAATGAATTCCTAATCTAAAAAGTAAGTTATAACTATAGCTTTCAAACAATTAATCAAAGGAAAAATTACAATAATGCTATCAGAACTACCTTCATTAAATGTTCTTAATCACTTTCTTTAAGTATCCCCCCAACCCGACATAATCAGAGATACACAATCACGAGGAAATATCTGAGAGGAATGCACGGGAAAAAGTATATGATTGATATTTGTTTTTTTGCGTGTGTGTGTTCAGCGTCTGGAGAGTGAGAAGGAGGGTCTGGAGAGAGATCTGAGCTTCAAATCGGACCAGGCTCTTCAGTATGACTCGCTGCTGGAGGCCGTCAGAGACAACAACAGACAGCTACAGGTGCAGTGACCCCCCCCCCCCTCCCCTGTGTTGTTAACTACACAGTTTATTTGCAAATTAAAAAAGTGACATCAAATGCAGGTAAGTTAGAAACCCACTGCAGGTTTATTTCAAACAAACTCATTGTGCGTGCGTGCGTGCGTGGGGCACAAACTGATGGAAAGAAAATATAAACTCCAACTCCAAGTAGTTCACTAACTTAAAGTATCCTGATTACGTAATTCCCCTTGATGTAATCCGTGACTCCGCAGCCTGATATAACGGTGGGATAACCCTTGTGGGTTTGCACAGACGACTCCAGGTTGCATCTCATCAGTCTGGATGTTTTCAGTTTTCCACCTGTCACCACTTTCTCTTTCCCTCTCCATCAGCTGTCTCTGAAGGAGACCAGCTCCACACAGCGCTCCCTGGAGAGTCAGCTCATGAGCACCAAGAGCAGCGACTCCAGCCGCGACTTCAGACTGAAAGAGGTGGAGGGCAGGATGAGGGCGATGGAGAAGGAGAACGAGATGCTCCGACAGAAGGTAACACACCACCTTAGTTTAGTTTATTTGTTTATGGTGTCGTGAACAGTCCCCATTGATCAACTGTCACAAGAGAAACTGTAAATGGGGCAGCTTTAGCCAACATTGCTAATTTCCAGCTGTCGTCCCCGGCCAGATGATAAAAGACACCTTTCAAATCACAATACCTGGTTTCATCATGTGCTCAAAATACCCAGTGGACGTAATGCAGCTGTTGTGATTGAAGCTTAGACGTTGCAGAGCAGTGAGAGAACAGCTCTTATTACATGACACACATGTTGTCGCGCCTGCTCGATCTGCTGCTTTGATCAGTGACTGCGGCGACATGTAGAATCACAGGCCAGCTTTTTTTCCCTTCGTAAATCAATCATGTGTGGATTCTTACACAGGTTGATGCATGTCTGCTAAAGAAACGATTTAAAGGTACAATGATTAAGATTAGTCAGTTGTGGTTTGTTATCTTCCCACTCGGCTCCTCCTTGCCCGTGGGGGAAAGGCCCATTTCACTCTTCTTTCAGATTGGCGTTTTTAGTATTGCTTTTATGTGTTTCTTTCGATGCTGTGTTTAATGCATGCTTAAGATCTCACACCTGGTCGCTTTGTTTTAATAAAGGTTGACACCAAGAATAGTTACAAACACAGAAAGATGAGCTATAGGCGCTTTCATATATACTTTTCCCACAAAGGTTCATCAGAACTCTTTAGTTCTCATGAACTAAGTTCAGATCGCCTTCACACCGGAATTAGTCCCTGGGGGAGGATTAGGCAAATGAAGCCACTGACGTCACTTCTTCTTCTTCTGCTTTGGGTTTACTGGCAGGCCGCAAACAACTTCACGGCGTATACTGCCGCCCGAAGTCCCCGGCCGGAAGTCCCCGGAGTTGGGGAAGGCTTCAGTAGAAGCTGCTGGGACTCCCAGCAGCTTCTACTGAAGCCTTCCGAGTAAATCGCCAGAACGCCGACACCTCCTCATCTCCACCGCTCCCATGTTTTCTTTTGTGTTGCCATAAGTTAGTCTCTCTCCGTTTGTGCGCGGGGCTAATGCTAATGCTAATAATGCTAATGCGAGGATAATAAAATGGCGGCTTCACAAAACTTTTTTGGGAGTTTTACGGGGCGTGGTTTGCAATCCGCCCAGCCAATCAGACAGGAACCTTTTTCTCCCACGAAAGTCCCTGCTCTCTAGCAGGGACTGAAAAGGGGGTGAAAAGGTTCATGAACTAAGTTCAAGTTCCGGATTTTTTTGGTGTGAACGCAACATTTCGGAACTAAAGTGGGAAAAGTACTGCGGTGTGAACGCGCCTATTGACATTGTTTTTATTACTAAAACCCTACTCATTGTGCACTCAATTTCTCCAATCTATGTGTGAACATATCAGCTTTAAGTTAACATGAAGTATAAGGAATTAAAAGCAATATTCATTCCAGGTTAATGAGGATAACACAAGGTGTTTGTTTCTGATAGAGATAGAATAAAAGATAATATATATATAAATGTAGCTAGCTGAGTTCATCGCTTTGGAACTAGAATAATAATGTTGAATTCACCTATGAGATTTAAAGCAATATCTTTAAAAAAAAGGTGATATAAAACTGTATTATGAACAGAAAGTCTCTATATTCATTTGTTTGGGATGTTTTTAAAATATATGACATTTGATATTGATTATTTCACTTTCATTTAATGTACAAATTAATGACTGTCAAACAGTAATTGTAGTAAGCTAAGCAACATTTCTGTCACAATATGTTTTTGTTATTGTTTTGATAACATTTGAATACAAAGATGATAACGTTACGGAGGAGAATAAATGAGGGGATATAAAGCCAGGCAGTGATTTCTTGTTGTGTGTGTCCTGCAGCTGGCGGGGCAGGCGAGCAGCTCCACCCTGCACGTGAAGACGGAGGAGTTATCCCGTCAGTACAAAGACCAGCTGAGCGCCATGAGAGACGAGAAGGACCAGGAGATCCAGAGGCTGCGGGTGAGAAGACAACAACTAACAAGAGACTGGTTTAGATATCCCTGACTCGATATTAAAGTAGATATGCATAGTGACATCTTCAAGTCATCCTGTCAATCTGTTTCATACTTACATTTATTTTCAACCACTGGCATTAGCACTGCTGTACTCATTAGCATATTAGCATGCTAACACACTGAAGAGGGCTAACGTGGTAAACAATATACCAGCTAACATCATCATCACTTTGTGTGGAGGTTTTTGCTTTAAAGACAGTGAATTATTTGACTTGCACGTTGTGTGTGTGTGTGTGCCCTCTGTACCTGATGTGTCCCTCGTCTCTCTCCGTCCCCCCTGCAGAGCCAGGTGACGAGGATCCAGACGGAGATCACCACCACCAGCGAGAGGTCGTCCTCCGACAAGAGTCTCCAGCTGAAGATCTCCGAGCTGCTGGCCATGCTGGAGCTGCGGCAGACCACCATCAGCAAACAGGAGGAGGTCCGCAACACAACACACACTCTAGACTTCATTTCAATATAGAGAGAATCAGGGTCTCCATAAGGTTGAATGATTGTATTTGTAACAAAAAAGATTGATGTGAGGACAGGTTTATATAATAACCCCCGCAGGTCGAATCAGGTAAACCATATTAGAAAGATTTCAGTCTTATTATGTGAAAACCAGAGGATCCGTCAAATCCGGCCTGGGACCATTGTCATCCCGTTTGTCTCCCCCCATCATAACGCCACTGGTTGCCCAAAAGATATTAAAACGTTTTTTTGAAAAGCCCAAATTGAGCCATATATCTATTGTGTATTTATATTTACAGAAGAATATTTCGAGCCCTTAAGCAAGCAAAGCCTTGAGAACCTTATCAGTGTCTTTTCATCAGCTCCTTCAATACAAGTCACTTTGAATGCAGGCTACAAAGTTGTTTCCCTACAATTTCAGACAGAAGGTGAAGTTGATCTCATTTATCTCCAAATAAAGTGTTGGTAAAACATCCGGAAAGCACACATAAAATGTTGATAAAACATCAGCGTGCTCGAAACTATGGCAAGTACTGTAGGTCAAAGTTCTTCCAGAAGTTCACAGTGTAATTTAGCAAACAGTCAGTATTTGTATAAAAGAAATTGAGAAACAACGTGCACAGAAGTACTTCTCTATTTTGGTGCAATGTAAACCTGTAGCTGATCTTCCTAATCGTTGGTTTGAAACCACATCGTCCCATTAATTACTCAGATATTAACCAATGGAACTACTGGTGGACAAAACTGCCAAAATAAACCTCAATATTTATTTAACTGATTTTATCTTCTTAGTTCTCACTTCACAATCACAGGTGCTACGCTCAGCAGGAATGGGTTCAGGCATGCAAAAGAGTCGCTAGCCTGCAATTAAGTGTATCGAGAAGGGAAACTGGGCCAGCTGTGTAATGTGATCTGTTTACAAAGAAAGAAAGAAACACACACACACCCACACACACACACACACACACACACACACACACTGAGCCCGTACGTTTCTTTCTTTCTTTTTTATTAGTTAGTTAGTCACCTTTCAGGTCCAACTGCATTTTTGTTTTGGTGCAGAGCTGAAAGCGATGTGTTCTTTCATTTAACCTCAGGAATTGTTTTGGAGGGACATGCCTGATTTATAGTTTCCTTCATAAACATAAAAGCAGCTGCCGCTTTGGTTCAAGGTCAAGGTTCAAGGTTTTTATTTGTCATACGAACATAGCTACAGTGTAGTTATGACAGTGTTGTAGTCAAGTCACCAATTCACGAGTCCAAGTCACTCTCGAGTCACCACTCTTCGAGTCCGAATCCAAGTCCGAGTCACCAAGGGAGAGTCGTAGTCGAGTCCGAGTCCAAGTCCGAGTCACCCAAGGAATGTCCGAGTCGAGTCCGAGTCCGAGTCATCATTACCTGTGTTCGAGTCCGAGTCCAAGTCCGAGTCACCCAAGGAGTGTCCGAGTCAAGTCCGAGTCCGAGTCATCATTACCTGTGTTCGAGTCCGAGTCCAAGTCCGAGTCACGTAAGAAGAGTCCAAGTCAAGTCCGAGTCACAAGTCTTCATGTATTAATCTTCATGGATATATGTGTTGAAATGTAGCTGCTCCTCTACATTGCTTTTATCCTGTCATGTTATACTAATCTGTCTATTGAACTGCTGTGAAGCCAGTTTGGCTACAATTCTTGTAATAGGTGCTATACAAATATAAAGCTTATTACTAATATTAATATTATTATTATTATTATTATATATAAACTATGTTTAAAATGAGTTACCTTTTAGAGAAGTGATTATATTTGTATGCCAATATTTTCCTATGGTAAAGTTTTCGTTTTGCACTTTTATTTTGATAGTAATAAGATCGGGACTCTTATTTTGAAGGAACTTTTACCGGTTAAATCGGTTTACTGATAAAGATTTAGCCCCAGAAAGCACATGGCTACTTAGCATGCAAAATGACGTCATTCTGCATGTTAAGTAGCCATATGCTTTCGTGTTATCGGCTGAATCTTTATGTATTGATTAGATCACGTTACTCTGATGATAGTGTTCAAGACAGCCTATATGTCTGAACTCGATGTTTAGAGTAATGTGTTACGGAGCCTTCTCTTCAATATTGTTTCCACATAGAGCATTTTGCGCTGCTCTTTTCCAATGTGGAAGCAGAATGTGTGAAAGCATACAGCACGATGCGGGGTGTGTCTCTAGACATCTTTAGACTGGAATAGCGGGGCCCAGTACGTGAACTCGCCTCGCAGTCGGTGCACACGCCAGGATAGAGGACATCAGACTCCATAGAAAACTTGCTCGAGTCCGAGTCCGAGTCCAAGTCGGAGCGTCAATGTACAAGTCGAGTCCGAGTCATCATGGGGGGAAAAATTCACGAGTCCGAGTCCGAGTCCAAGTCAGCGTACGCGATAATTCACGAGTCCGAGTCCGAGTCCAAGTCATCGTGCGCGAGAATTCACGAGTCCAAGTCCGAGTCGCGTCAATCAGTGCGGGAGTCCGAGTCGAGTCACGAGTCCCGAAAATCGGCACTCGAGTCCGACTCGAGTCCGAGTCCAGGACTCGAGTACTCCATCTCTGAGTTATGACGATGGAAATCTTAAGTCACAGGCTCCTCCAACAGTGCAACACAATAACACAGATACACATAAAAATATAGTGCAAGTAAATAGTCTAAATGCCAGTTATTGGAATATGATATATTAGATAAATCATTTCTAAGTAGCAGCCAGATGAATGTTATGGATGTTTCAACAGTTCAGGTGTTGAAGTTGATATGCAATTACAGAAGAATTGACTGCAATTCATTCATTTCACAGTAAAAGCTGGACCTTTTATGTTGGATGTGGTCCAAATAAAAGCAGCCATACAAGAACTTTGAGGAAATCCGATTGTGAAAAATACAATCCAATCCGACTAAGAATTTGACCAGACAATCGATAACTTTCACACTACGTGCAGGGAGGATAAATCAAATCGTGTTTGTGAAATTCAATACACAATACCCACAATGCCCAGTAGTCGCATGTATTTGCTGCTGACCTTTTGACCTGTTGTGTCCTGCAGGAGATCAGGAGGATGAGGATGGAGATGACCAGCATGACCAGCAGCTCCAGCAACACCAGCAACTCCAGCAGCTCCAGGAACCTGGTCACCAAAACCACCACCACCCAGAGGTAACATCACAACAAATCATCTGAGAAAACACAACTATATTTATGTGTATACACTGCGCTACAGAGCTAAAATGGCAGAAACGTTACCTTTTTAATAACAGGAGAGAAGTGGACTTTTCACCATCACTCGTTGTCCATTTAACTGCTGTAAAAAAAACGGAAAAGTCAGTAGATGGATAACTATCTGCAAAAAACTGTCTGTTAACTGAACTGAACACTTTGACTTGTGTGTGTGTGTGTTTGTGTGTGTGTAGGTTTAGTAACAAGTACCCTATGCTGGGTCTGCTGGACGACCAGTACCAAAGCTCATCCGTCAAAACTAACAAGACCATCGTCCTCGAGAGAACTACTTGAGATGTGATCGAACAGGTAAAAACAAGTTTGTAAACTTCTGAAAGACATGTACAAAAAATACACATACAAGATATATTATAATACATGCTCAACATACTGCACTGTGGTTTAAAGTGGTTTAGTGGGACTCATGGATGACTCTGTAGGGCTCCTCAGATCATAATAAAGTCATTTAATTCATTCATCCAACAAATAAAGCCTTAATTGGTATTAAAAAAGACTTAAACCAATCTATCAAATATTCTAAGCATTCTCATCTGTTTGTCATTACTGGTGTTATTTCCTGGTTGCTAACAAACGCCATTGTAACACAATCACTGATGTTCCGCTGTAACGGTGGTGGACTCATCAGAGCACACTGGGCTCACAGGGAGGGGGGGGGGGCAGGAGCTCCAACAAGCCGTTTAGGACAGAGAGTGAATACACATACTATACAGAGATGCTGTATGAGAAACCAATGTGATTTTGGAACATTGCACAATATAAATATATTCTAGTATACCTCAACAATGGAATTATGATCAGTAGAAATGGCCATGACATGGGACCTTTAAACTGAATAACCCTGCTTTGCTGACGGGAGCTTTCCCTATATGAAGTATTTGTTGTACTGACATTGAGCTCTGCTGCTTTGTTAGAAAAGGGATGATTATGATGCTGGCTCATTATGAGAAACATGCCGCATTGAGGCACCGTGCTAAATTCACCGAGTCGCATCACATTCAACACGGAGGTAATAAAAACGAGCCCAGGTCAAAGTGAAGGTGAGGGCTTTCTAATGCAGCCCTTCACATGAGGGCTTGAGTTGAAATGAGGTTTGTTTACATGATACTGGGTCCACATTCACACCAAGGAGGGGCCACATTAACACACACACACACACACACACACACACACACACACACACACACACACACACATACACACACATACACACACACACACACACACACACACACACACACACACACACACACACACACTCCTGCATGTCTTGACGTGACGATGTAAATTATCCCAGCTGAAGGAAACTAATTAAATCAAACAAAATGGTTTCAGAGTTTACTATAGTTTAAAACATACATGGTTTTCATTTCTTTGGATATAAAGCTGGGAAGAACACTTTGAATTGGAATTTACAATTATGGACACACCACTATATATAGTATACTATCTCTGTGCAATGGTTTGACTTTGACTTCAACATTGAACTACTGGATGAATGTTGGGCTTTTCAAAACAACTTGACTTCTGGCTGAGTATCCAGTAATAGTGATATAAGTACTTCCTATGTTTTGAAATCACTCAGCTGTTATAGGGTTATGAGAGCTGTTTAGTGTGAAGTTAAGGGTGGGGTAGGTAAGTTTGAGAAACCGGCTCGAGATACACTTTTTGTTATATTCCATGGAATGCTCTTAACATCCCGATAGCAATGAATATTTTAAGTGCTTTGACAAAAAATCCATACAAAAATGTCATCTGTGGAAGCTGTAGTACTGTAAAAAGCACGGCTAAAATAACTGGATGGCCTACCTGCCTGTCAGCCTTCCATCTGTGCACAAACTTATCTCGTGCCCTCATTGGTCATGTGCGCGTTCGTGTGTGTTGGAGGAGGGGCTCTATTCAAATTCTAGCCACTCGAGCTGGTTTCTCCAAAATGACCTACCCCACCTTTAAGGGAGAACTACTATTTGCTTGACATCTGATTTATAATGATTATCTAGTGCCCCCTTGTGGTAAAATAATGCCACTGCAGGTTTTAGGTGAAAGCTTGCAATCAAGGCCTTTGAATCCTTTGTACAGTGCTTTCACAAAACAATGAGACTTCTGTAAACACCATATTGATAAAAGCTTATAACAGAAGAAGTTAACAACATTAAATCACTACAGCCTTTAAAACCAGGAAAGCCGAATATTTATGCAAAACTCATATCTCAAATCTGAGACAATATCCAGTCCCATATCAAAAAGAACAAACAATAGAAACTCTCTAACATTCAGAGATCTTCATGAATTCCTTTTTAAAGCTGACACAACATTTGAACTGTGTTTTTATTTAAGTCACTTTTCTTCTCTCCAACAGGAATGATTGAGCAACAAGAAGATCCAGACGACCCCCCCCCCCCCCCCCTCCTCCTCCTCCTCATCCTCATCCTCAGGGCTCATAGGCTTCGTGGTGGTTGATGTATCAAAGACCTAAATGTCCAAGAAAAGCAACTAAATAAAATATATTTGTCCAAAACACAATCCTACGTAAATGTATTGAGGCCATTCTAGTCAAAATAAATAATTAAATTACAAAGCCAAGAAGGAGGGTTATATTCAGAGACTAACCAGAGATTTTGAAGTTGTAAATTCAGTCATGCTTTGAGATCAGAGAGGCATAATGTATCAGAAGAATAACTAAGACAATTCCAAGACAAACACTGAAAGCAAAAAAACGCAAACTTGCTCTACTTTGCAAGGTTGGCTCAAACATGTCACAATAAATAAAATCAATACAGGCCATTTTTGTACGTGCTGAAACACGACTATGGAGACGTTTTGGTTAAAGGACAGACAGGTCTAACGCATTTCCCCTTCTATCAGTTCCCTTTCACCATTTGTTGATCTCTAACTGAGGGCTCTGGTCTTCAATCAGTCATCTCCTCACTGCAGGGAAAACAAGATGTCCAGCTTGTTGTTGTCACTAACACACTTTTATATAAAGACTTAAGCACAACATCCTCCTCAAAGCCACCACAGCCACTCTAGCCCGGGGATGAGGAAGTGGAACCATGATTGCTACTCTGCATGTACATATTAATATTTTTTTATATATATTGTAAGACACTCATTGAATGTTTTGATGAACTTTTGGGTAGTTTGCTTCGTGGTTAATGGTAATTTTTATGTATCCGATGTGTAATTTTGTGTTGTTATGTTGACTCTGAGGTGCATGGGGATGTGTTCACACAAAGCTTTTGATGTGTGAAGTGTGTTGGTGGAACTGTAGCATGATTTAACCCTCCTGTTGTCTTCGGGTCGAATCTGACCGATTTACTACTTTCATCAATCATAACTTTTTTGTTTTACATTCGATTGCTTTAAGGCTTTATGATATCCTTCACAGTAGACATTTGAACATAGAGAATTGCTGATCACCACTTTCATTGAATTTTGGATGATTTAGTCAACTTTGTAACACCCACGGTGGAATTAGTAACCATCCGGATCAGATAAAACACACACACACACACACACACACACACACACACACACACACACACACACACACACACACACACACACACACACACAGAACAATTTGACACATGTCCCGCTCTTATGTGCCCATCCCCCCACATGGATCACACCTGGCACACGCAATACATGTTCAGTGTTTATTCTTTGTATAGTTACTGCAGTTGTTCATGTATACCAGTAGTCTGATACAATATGTACAGTTTGAAAGGGTGTTAAAGGAAATGTGGTGATGATTAATGGTTTTTGTGTTAATGTAATAACAGTTCAAACAGGACCGGTCAAATTTGACCACGAACACCAAAGTAAGGGGGGAAACGAAGACAATAGGAGGGTTAATTGGGGTTTATGATGGTGGAAGAACATTTTAAAAGCACAATATTATGTTAACTGTTTTTGTTCCTGTCAGAGTTGTCCTGCTTTGTCTCCGTTCAGGTTTTTTGCATAAAGGGATCACGTTGACGGCTTTGTGTCCACTGGGAGCTCAATGGTAGTTCTGGGTAGAGAGTTTACTGAGGATTTTATTTATGTTGCTCGTAACGTAGAGACCACTGCACTGACTTCCTGCTGCCAGTCAAATGATTCTCTGTGTGCTGTGTCTCCCAAACCATTCTCATCACATGACAAAGCTATCTGTCCAGAACAAGATAACAAGATGTCACTTTTTTGGACATCAATACGAACAACTGTTTTCTGAAGCATAATCTTCACCCGTCTCCAAACAAATCAATAACTTCATTATGTGTTTTAGTCTGTTCCAACTAAAGACATCTTTGTTGAAGATTAAATTAAAGTTGATTTGTAAAACTGAGTTTCTTAAAAATCTTATATTTACCACAGATGTGTCCAAAAGTTTATTGAAAATAAGCTTCAAACATCTTTAAAAATGTCTTATTGACTACAGAAATCTCTGAACTCAAAAAACACATTTCAAATGAACTCAAACTGTTTCATCCTGTGTCGTATATGTTTCATAAAGTCTGCAGGGAACTGTTTTGTACATTTAAAGAGACAGATTGTTTTGGTAGTGTTCATGGTTTTGGTGTTTCTTGAAAAGCTGCAGTGTACCTGCTTTTTGTTGGATCATGCATAAAGGGTGATGCATGTTCGCACTGCAGAAATAGGGTCCGGATCAGCTTAATTTAAAGTGGACCTATCATGCTATATTTTAATAATATAGTATAGGACCATACCTATATAAGGCATATTTATACTTTTTTTTTGTTCAAAATACCAAACAGATCATGCATTTTAGCCATGCCTCATTTTGCTCAATTTGACATTTTTTAGCTCTGTTTTAGCAAGGGCTGATTCAGTGAGAACAGCACCACCTACAGGCCTGGCATATGTACTACAGCGTCTCCAGCGCTTTCGAGCGGCAATGGCCGTGGCTGTCTCCTCCTGATTGGTGGAGTTGGCCCAATAGCCGTAGCGCCACCGTCCTGACGTCAGGACAGTGTTCAAATCTGGATCAGTTTTTATCAGATCCGTTGCAGCCCCTTTTTTAGAGATTTGGGTATGGAGGAAAATAGAGAGGGTTGTGTTTTCTGACACTTGGTGAGTTCCCTGGAACACCGGGGACACATATTCATGTAGAAAAGACGTACAAAAGTGCATTTTGCATGATAGGTCCCCTTTAACATGGAATTGGTGTCAGATTGTGCAGCTGATGTTTGTGCTGTAACTCGTCCTTAGCATATTTTATTTTATCTTATTTCACTTATTTTAATAGAGACAAGCTGCCAGTGGACACAGAGCCGGATTTCTATGAAAAGCCTGTACATTTAATTGACTGGACCTAAAGTGCCTTACTGCGTTAGCAACGTAAGCCAATGTTAGCCCAGCATTTCAGTTTGTTGACGAAATATTATCGTCTTTAAACAGTTTTGGGACCAATGCTGTCTCTTTGGCCGTCGTTTGCTTTCTATCTGTGTAACTTTCTCTGAGGAGACTAAATCTTTGCTGACAGTCAAATATATGCTGAGCTCAATTAACTGTTTTTGCTAATCTAGTAAATAGAGTGTTCTTAATATATTTTCTTATGCAAACAGCTGTCTTTATTTCCAGTCCAGCGCTCCAATGAGATTTGTTTCAGCTGTGATTAAAATCAGTAATGTTTCTATGCAAACGTGTGTGTTTTATTGAACTCACCAGATCAATACTGTCATATCAGGGGTCATTTAATCCTAATTATATATATATATAAATACTTCTACATAGCCTCCCTCTTTTCTATTGTCTTCATATCATTGTGTTCTTGTTTGTTTTGTTCTAAAAGTCTATCTATGAATACATTTGGTGAAAAGCAGAGACTCACCGCTGCATCACATACAGAGAGTGGTGAAAGCATGTTTTCTCTATTTAAGTACTGTACTACATTTTAGAAACAAATTGACCTTTTTCTTACATTTCTGACAACGTAATTCACAAGGTCAAGGTTCAAGGTTCTTTATTAGTCATACAACCGTAGCTACAGTAGGAGTTATGTCGATGAAATTCTTAGGTCACAGGCTTCTCCAACAGTGCAACACAATATTACAGAAAAACAGAAAAATATAGTGCAAGTAAATATTAAAAGTAACTGCAAAAAGAAAGGAATAGTTTAAAAAAAAAGTGAAATAGTGAAATAAGAGTCTATATGCAAGCTATTGGAATGATATATTAGGTAAATAGATAAATGATTACTAAGTAGCAGATGAATGTTATGGATGTTGTTTCAGCAGTTCAGGTGTTTGACAGTCTGTGGGATGAAACTGTCTCTGAATCTGTTGGTTTTAGTCAGGATGCTAAAACAGGTCAGGTCATTTGCATGATCATATTATGAATAACAAATATTTATCGTGTTGGGAAATATGTTCCAAGGCCCCTAACTTTGACCCAGTTTATCAGTTCTGTCCTGACTGAGTACACGCACCTGTAACCTTGGCTGCTGTGCTCTCAGTGTTCTGTCTCCCTGTTCCTGCCTGTTGGCGTCAGCTGATAGAGGTGTTATGATTCTATGTTGTTATGCACAATGTGGATTATTCTCTCAGAACTATCTAAATACACGGGTCTGGGGGAGAGTTCTTCAGAATTGACGTGGCAACTCTACCGTGAAGTCAGAACCTCTGACTCTTTGACTTGTCTTGTGAATTCTCCGGCCGAAGCTCCTAATAAACCCATCAGTGTTTGCCATCAAAGCTCCAGCTCTCCCCGTGTCTCCTTTTGAGTCAGTGACTCGTCCTGCATTGCTACACAAAAGTACATATCGAACTAATAAAATATGATTATGGATTTAGATATACACTACCAGCAGTCCACATGATGCCTTTTTCTGAGCACCAGCGTCTTCTTTCAAAAGTGTTTCAACTTCAACTTCATTAAAGCACCTGTGACGTACTAACTGTAGAAATTGCATGAAAAGCTTGTTTTTGGCAGTTTCTGTTAGTCAAAAACAAGGACCGAAGAGGAGGTATTTTGGAGTAGATTGGCCTAGTGGACACCAGATGTTGCTGCCGGTAAGTGTGCACATTTTCTACCTTCTGTCCTCATTGAAAAAAAAAAAAGGCGTTATTTGAACCCAGACCCCTATGCATGTGTGTTGGTCCTGTTTGCGCCTGTGTGCATGGGTGTGCATTTCAGGCCTGTGTGTGATATAATGTAAATAACACCAGAGTGAAAATTGAATTTCCCCTTGTGGATAGATACTTCTTAATCGTACCTGGACCTGGATAATGCTGCACCTCTCAGAGTCTCCAGCAGAGGACGCCTCCAGCAGAGGACCCCCCCCCCCTCAGCTCCTCTGGCTCGGGGTCAGTGAGGGATCTGATGGAGCAGAGACTCAGAATGAGGTCATCTCTGTAGGGCTCGGCTCAGTTGGCTGATCGTCAACCATTTTGACTTCAGTCACTG